TCATCTTTAATTTTCAAAAATTATAATTGTTTCCTTTAAATAAAGGACCACATTGATTAGAACTACATTCTTTCAACGCATAAGACACGATGAAAACAAATTTTTGAAATCAATCAAAACTTTCCACAAGGATCAACTCAATGTATAAAAATTGTCTCTAATACCAATTTGTGAGTTGTACACAGTGGAATATTTAGAAAGTTTTATATTTTCAGAAACAAATCTGTGTCTTTCTAATCTTTACTTATTTTAACAATTAAATAATTAATCAGATGCTCGATAAAATAAAGCAAAGTAAGAGTTAGAGATGACACAAGGATTTTTAGTGAGGAAATCTCAGTTGATAAAATAGATCAATTGTTTGCGTGGAAAAAACCTCGTGTAATGACCCGGTCATTTTGCTTCTTTTCTTTTTTTCGGTAATTTTCTTTTTTCGTCTTTTTCCCTATTTCGTGCTCTTCTCGTTTTCTATTTTTTCTTGCATAACCTCACTTTTTGTGTTCGGATTTGATTCCGGATTTGCATACATCCATGATATTTAAATTCCATGATATCTACATTTTTACTTTTGTAGAAAAGCATATCAAATGTTTACTTTTCTTGTAAAGGGCATGAATGCATGACTTTTGGTAATTATTCATAACTTGAGGGGTTTTGTGTAATTAAATAAAGTAGTTATTTTTCGTCTTAGGGACCATTTTGCAATTGAATTTGGAAGATATTTTCAAAAAGGACCTTTTTGCAATTTACGAAAAGTGTGACAAGTATCACACTTTCATTGGCCCACTTGTAGCCCCCTCATTGGTTATCTTTAGGAGCCTTAGATAATGACACATGGAGGGTGGGGATTCACCCATTTGTTGGCCTAGGATTGGAGCACTTATTGCCTTAGATGAATGACAAGTGTAGACTTAGGATTAAGAATAGGAAAAAGCCTTATATAAATGACAAGTGTAGGTCTCAATTTAGTCTTGCAAGTGTGTGTGTGAGAGGTAGTGCAAGAGCACCTAGTGAGTGGAGAACCCCATCAAATATTACTTAGGGTTTCATCTCATTTTACTCATTTCATCTCTTTCCTCTCAAGAACCCTAACTTGGCCACCATTGGAGCAAAGCTTGATCCAAGGTTTTAAGCTTCATTTTGGTGCCCTTCCACTGACCTTAGACCTATAAGTTTGAAATACTTTATATTCCTCTCACTCTCCTCTATAAAACCCTAGCTTGGTTTCCCATTTAGAGCTTGGTTGCTTTGGTTTGTAGAGATACAATTCTCTATTGAGGTAGGGGGTGTTATAATTTATTTTCCAAGTGATTTAATTGTTCTTGTAGTGATATCCAAGTTGTATGCATGTCTTGTACTGAAATAAGAAATAAATGATTAATTGTAACTTGTATATAATTCACTTTAGACTTGATATATGGTATGGCCATGACTTGATCTTTTTTGTGTAGTAATTTGGCATGATTTAAATGAGCTTTTAAATCTAGAGGATTAATTGATTTAAATTGATTTAAATTCTAATTAATTGTACCATACTTGTATTTCATTTTGACTTGATATATAGCATGGCCATGAATTACTCCTTGTCATATATTAAATTGGAATCATTTGGAAAACTCTTAAAATCTAGAGAAATTACTTAGTTGGTCTACTTAATTTCTATAATGTTGATCTAATGATTAGTCATGTAATCCATGAAACTTATTGTGTTTTATCACATATTATGACTTGTTGCTCTACTTGTTGATTTTAGAAACTTGAGATATCATCAAGAACATGACATGGCTAGGACTTAGTTCTAGTACGGGAGATAGAGAGCTCCCTATACTATAGTGCGCACTAGGGGAAGGTACCCATGGGTTAATAGCCCTAAAGTGATCTCAAGAGTACGATTTTAGTCCGGGCGATATCCAAGTATCCACCTTAACTTGATTTCACTCTTTAATTTCCAAACTTGATAACCTTGTGATATTGTATCTCATTGTGCCATGTTAAAAGTTCCAATGTCATTTTAGTAGCATGGACTAAATTCTATTGAATTGAAAATTTTGTAATAAGTTAAACTTATGCATGCTCATTCCCTATGAGTAAACTTGTTTACTCACCCCGAAGTTACCGGGTGTTTTTCAGGTAAAGAAGCTTTATTATGGGATGCACAACACTCTTAGACTTGCTAGAATTCTTGGAGCATTTTTGGTGACATTGAATATGCATTATTAGCATATCATGATCCTTTTAGGTGTATTTTATAAAAACTTGTATTTATGGTCTAAGCTATGTAATGTGCACTTAAGTGCACCCTTTGTTACTCTTGGGATGAATATATAATGAGACCAAGGGCCAAAGACACTTGCCATGTATGCTACTTTATTTTCATATGTTGTTTATGAAAATTTAAGCAAAAATCTATGTATTGGGATATTATTCAAAGCTTCATTTTGATTTAGCATTTTTTGATGCTTGCATGGGGTTAGAGAATGTTTAGAAACTCGTTCGGATCAATTAGGAAGCACCCATAGCCTTGAAACCAAGCCCACGCACCGTCAAACAAGGCCCGAGGGGGCACCTGGAGGGGGCCCCGCACATTTCCCACGGTTCTGCCCATTTAGGCCGGTGCCAGCGGGTTTTGGGCGGGCACCCGCCTTGCTTCTGGGCTTTGCACCTCCAACTTTGGGTCATTGTATCTCCCTTATTTTAACTCCGAATTGGTTCACTCTTTAGTTTAAACTGACCGCGTCGAAATAAGCTTTCCAATGGTATCAATTAGAGCTTCAGATTCCATTTTTTAACTCAAGTTATTCAAGTTTTAGTGAGGTAGTGTTAGGATTTGGTTTTAACCGGAAAGGGGTTTTCTTTCCTTAACTTCAACACTTGATATCTTCTTCGTTTGGACTCCAAATCAAGTCATTCTTGAGTCCATTTTTATTAATTTTTTATTGTCTTTCCAATGGTATGCTTGGTAGCATCCATTTCTTTATGAAATGACCATTTTGCCTCTAGGTTCGTTCTTGTCTGTTTTTGAGATATCGTTTCCGCATTTGCATTCTTTGGGTTTCGTGACCTCATTGAGGATCACATTTGTATTTTATAAGGGTGCAGTAACTCTAGAGACCATTGTTTCACCATTTGCTTCTACATTCATGATTCATCATTGGATTTATGTTTGGTTTATCATATGACGCACTGGCCTAAAAACCAGGGCCATCACACCTCGTGGACTGTTCAGTCCAATGTAAACCAATCCACTATGTATTAAACAAAGTACACTAAAATTTGACTCTGGCTCACACCCTATTGTTCTACCAAACTCCAATAGTTGACAATCTTCTGGCTTTACGATGTCCCATCGAACAACACTTAATCTTAGGCTTATTCTTGATCTCTGTAGAAGGGTTGAAGGTAGATCAAACAACACTCCACGAATGCTTTAACTTTTTCAAAGTGTGATCGCTTTTACTTTGATCTGTTCTTCAATATCTGAATTCGATGTAGAAATACATTTATTTTTCCCCGATCGTTTTAGATACAAGACTTTGATCACGATCAGGATTTGAACAACACTTTAAACTCACTCTTATGTTTATGTGTATGTTCTAAAAAGAATGATAGATAAATAAACTTAAATTTTTTGCAAAAATAATCTTCCTAAAGCTTTTATGAATAATGAAGGCTAAAGCTTTTATGAATAATGAAGTTGTAATGCCAAAGCCTAGATGTATATTAGGGTTTATATAGAATTTTCAAAGACCTAATCCTTCAGAAAATAAAGGAAATTTTGTGTATAGGACTTTTGGTATAATTCTAAACCAACTAGAAAAGAAATCAGGATAGGATTCAAAAGTTACTAAAACTGACGAAGACTCTTGAACCGGTTCAAGAAAGGCTAAACCAGTTCAAGAATGGCAAACAAAATTTGAAGCCAAATTTGAAAGGCTTGAACCGGTTCCAAGAAGCTTAAACCGGTTCTAGTATGCCAGACTTGAATCCTAAGGTTGAAACTTGGTAAAAACACTGTTTTGGAATTTCTTGAAAATATACCAAGTACGGAACATGTCATAACCTTTTTAGATTTCTTCCTAGTGTGTTGTTCTTTCCTTTCTTGATGATCTCAGTATAGTATCTTTGAACAACCTTCCAATTCCGCCGCTGATCTCGATCCTGCTATGGTAATTTAAAATTATAACTCGATTAGACTTATTTTGACACCGAAAGTTACCAACTTAGAAGGCGTTACTAGTTATAGGTGAAAATGGAATGGAATCTAATTTAAATGTAGTAAGATACTAAAGGTGCTTTCTTTTATTTATTCCATGTTACTAGTTATAGGTGAAAATGGAATGGAATCTAATTTAAATGTAGTAAGATACTTAAGGTGCTTTCTTTTATTTATTCCATGTTAGTTACCATAAAAGGTAACACAAGTGCGATAGTGCATGACTTACCAAGTTGGATATTGTTTAAAGGATTGTCGTTGCTGGTGGCCATGTTGTTCCAATGTTCTGATTCATTTGACATATATATCTATATATATATATATATATATATATTTGCTTGATTGCAGTGTTTAAGATTGATATCTCAACGTTCTCAGCGGACCATAGAATTTAACGGAACAAATATTAATATTTAAATGGTAGATGTATTGTTGGATGATCAAAAGCATGGTACAATTAATTTAATTCAAAATACTTGTCAATGCATATACACTCTGCGAAAGATTTGCATAGGTCTATTATGAAACAAATCATGCAGATTGTGAGACCACCCTTTATTCCATTTTGATAAACCGATGAGCTCGTTTGAGTTCTCTATCTCCAATTTTATTTCTAGGCACCATCTGTGTGATCAAGCTATATATGTTATAAGGGTGTTCTAGTTCATTAACTCCCTCGAATCTCTCTTAAGTTGCACATTCATGCATTTGCTGCTGTTCTTATATATTCTCTTCCTCTGACCCTTTTTCTCTCTTGGGACGTTCTAGATCAATTTTTGCCAATAACATGTCACATTTGGACCTCACTGGGTGCAAGAAAAGAAAAAGAGGAGAGAAGGTCTTTAAGTTCAGGACTTTTGGTGAGCATGGTTGTCCTATAGAGTCTAGAGGGCCATTTTGGCAGAATTTGAAAGCCCTTCTGGAATTTGGGCACTCGGAGAGTGGCGGTGGAATGGCGAGTTGGTCTTTTCAGCTCAAAGTCCATCGCCACCCTCCGGTTCATGTCTTCTTGTTTGTCGTTGAAGAACAGATTGAGGCATCGATCAATCGTCACTGCAAGCACTGCCAATTTGTAGGTAATGTCTCAATGATAAAATCTATGTGTTTTTTTGGCCTAAACCAGAATAATATCTACAGAAAATATTGTCATGGACCTCATGACCTTAATTGGTTGCTAATTAAATTTTAGGCTCCAGAGTACATAAAATGACTGTGGGTTGTGCATTCAATTAAAAATTCTTTTTTGGTTTGATTTAGCCATCTACTACCACCACATTTCAATAACCTTGAAAGTGAACATGCAAATAAATTAATTCTTATAAATTTATGTACCCTTTGGGATCCTTTTAGGTGGGTTGTTGGTATGCCGTGATCTTGGTAGTAAAACTTTAATTAAGTGTGCATTTGGTCCTAGTTGGTAGCTAGCATGGAAAATCACATTTATTTACCTAATGTTTTGTCTGCATGCAACAAATTTACAAAAAAATTACATTTTTTTTATCCACCTTATGCTTTTTAGTTATTCAATGCCTATCCTTCAGACTTTTGAAAACATGCACACAGTACACGTTTTATATATATGTATCAAAGATAGAGTGATATTGGTTATATATAGCTCAGGCTGGGGGCAACATATGATATGCAATAAGAAGTATCATTTTTTGGTGCCCTCCAAGGACACAATCTCGGCTTGTTTGAGCTTTTGGGACAACCATGATGGATCAGATTCAACAAAGGGTAAGTACAATTTTGTGGAATTAAAGGGCCATGTCATGCATGGTGTGTTTCACTGTAATGGGTTCGGCCATTTGCTGTGTGTCAATGGAGTGGAAATGGGATCAGACTTGACTGGGCACCAGATCATGGACTTCTGGGATCGTCTCTGCACCGGATTGCGAGCAAGGTTATCCACATTATTCTAAATTTTATATTTCTTCTTTTCTTTTATATATGTTGTAAATGTGTACCACCTTAATTAAATTTTATTCTGAAGATCGAAAAAAGTTTGGCATCATTAATTTATTAATAGGGTTGTACCAGAACCTCTTCCTTGGGGTTCCCAATTAAAAGGGTGATAGAAAGAGAAACATAATTGAGCTTCTAATGAAGATTGGAAGCTCTATTATTTGCAAAGAATGAAAGATTGTACCCTAGCTAGCTAATTTAATCATATCTAAGAAACACTAAATATTGATGATATATATTGTGCTTTATTTGGTAGGGAAGTAAGTCTATATGATAATTCACAGAAGAGAAGCATGGATTTGAGTTTAATTCATGGAGTAGCATATGGTATGCCATGGTTTGGTCGATGGGGCTATAGCTTTCATCGTGGAAGCTTTGGTGTTACTCCAACAATGTACCAAAAAGCAGTAGAAGCAATAAAAAGCATGCCATTGAGCTTGCTTGTTCATCATCTTGTCAGTTTTAATCATGAGATTTCAATTATTTTCTCAAGGTATCAAACACTTTCAGCCCATTCTTTGGTCACCCTTGGCGATCTATTGCATTTCATGTTAGAGATTAAGTCCCGCCTTCCAAAGGAAAGTTGTGTCGATTCATACAAGCCGGGACTCCTGGTGGAAACTTCTTGCAGATGGTCTCCTAAGCGAGTTGAAATGGCCACTCGGGTTATTGTTGAAGCCCTAAAGAGGGCTGAATTCAGGTGGGTTTCGAGGCAAGAAGTTAGGGATGCTGCTCGTGCCTACATTGGTGACACCGGTTTATTAGATTTCGTGCTCAAGTCCCTTGGAAATCACATAGTAGGGAATTATTTGGTTCGTCGCAGCTTAAATCCAGTAACAAAAGTTCTTGAATACTGCTTGGAGGACATCTCTAAAGCAATTCCCAATCAAGAAGGTATAGTTATGAAAGATTCAAAAGTCAAGACTCAATACAATATCACAAGGCTGCAACTTGTGAGGGACATGTTTCACTTGTACAAACATGTACTTAAAGACCAAAAGCCAACAATGACTGCAGGCATACTTGCTACAATCCCAATAGCTTCAAGGATTATTCTTGATTCCAAGTACCTCATCAAGGATTACCCTGAGGACCTACCACCAAAACTTTTAGGCCTCGAAACAAAATCAAAGCTATATTGCACGGTTATGTTATCGAACAATGGTCACGAGGTTGATGAAAGGCTAGGAAATATTATAATGGCACCATATGAGTGTATCATGTTGAGACACAATGCTACATTTGATGAGCTCAAGCTAGAAGTTGAAAGGAGTTTTAGAGAGATCTATTGGGGATTGAGGTGCCTTGTGGTACAATCTATCGCGAATTTGAAAGCCAAGGGATCAGATTTAGTTTTTGGGCTAGTTGAAGAGGGTGGTAAACTTGTCTTCAAGGGGACTAATGGAGAGAGAAGGATCATCACTGAGGATATATATGAAGGTACTAACAGTAATTGTGTTATGGATTGTCCTTGTGGAGCCAAAGACAATGACGGTGAACGTATGATATCGTGTGATATTTGTGAAGTTTGGCAGCATAGCCGGTGTGCTCGGATTCCAGATGACGAAGAAATTCCAAATATATTTCTGTGCAGTCGGTGTGAGCAGGACATTTCACTCTTCCATTCTCTACCATAGCACTATAAAAGTTGTGAATAAATGTTGACAAACTGTTGACTATTATGTATGCTTCAATATTTATATTTACGCCTATGGCCGGTCTCCTTAATTCATATTTATGATCATGTTATTGTTGGTTGTAGTTCAACTATATGTTTTCAATGTGAAGAGAAGAAGGAATGAAGAAACAAATATTTTTGTGTAATGTATTGAATTGAGTTCTACTACAAATCTCTTAGACAATATATAGTGTCCTCTTAAAGACCATTGAACTTTCCATACATCTACACTTAATACATGTAAAAACCCAAAAGACATAATGAACATACATGGCATTAAATTTAATTTTAACACTCCCTCTTAATGTCATGTTGTGGCACCCAACAACTCTCTAAAGTATTCAAACTTATTTCTTGGAAGTGCTTTGATGAAGATGTCCGCAACTTGGTCTTTGGTTCTGCAATACTTGAGTTGAATCTCTTCATCCTCCATGGCTTCTCTAATGAAGTGATGCTTGATTGCAATGTGTCTTGTGCGACTATGGAAAACGGGATTCTTTAGTCATAGCAATTGAGGATTTGTTACCACATAATCCCGTAGCCATTTGGTAGGTGAAGATCGGGCGAAACCAGGAATAAAATAGCTCGCTGCCAGCCAATCACGATCGATCACAGGGATCTAAGATCGATTATAAGTTCCCTAAGATCAATCGTGCTGACGTGGCTTGATGATAAGGCTTATCCACATGCTGACTCAGTGCTGACAAGGATTCATGACCGATTGTAAAGAATTCACAATCGATCGTGATGCTGACGTGGCACTTCGAATGATGACATGGCATGGCTGAATGCTTTATCTGATGACGTGGCAACAGTATCGGTCGTGGAATTTGCGATCGATTGTAAGGATTTCACGGTCGATCGTAGGCCTTTTTGGCAGATTTTTTGATCTTTTTTCAAATTTTCTCGATGCATTTTCTTGACTCCAAAAAGGCTTTAATGACATGTTTTTAGCCTGTTTGAACCTTATTGACCTGAAATCGATAAAAACACAAATTAGAATTAAAACGGGAAAATAAAGATAGATGAAAGGACCAAAATACCCTAGTTTATGGCTGAAATGTGCAATATTTCAACATTTATCACTTAACATGTATGTAATGAGGCCAAAGGCCAAGCACTTTCATTATATGAAAATTATGTCATTTTGTATCAATACTTAGCTCTTTGGAATTTCATGCACTTGGGGGCATTTTCATCATTTTACTTTTCTTATCATTCTTGGTTTGGGCCATAGAGAACCTGAGGATCAATTTTGAATTGGGGTTGCTTCACAAACTTTTTCCAAAAAGTCTCATTTTCACCAAGATTTTTAAAGATTTTCAAAGGTTGCAAGTTACAACCAATCGTTCGTAGGTACCTGCGATCGATTACAAGTGGGTGCGATCAATCGCACCTGAGAACATTTTGTGGTTTTCAATGATCGTGTACCTTGCGATCAATCGCACTTGGGCATTTTTGGCTTCCAATCGTTCGTTTACCTCACGATCGATCGCACCCTTAATGAAATCTATCACACCTGAAACCTTTTTATCACTTCATCGTTCGTAACCTTACAATCGATCGCACCTTTAGTGCGATCGATCACACTTAAGAAATTTTGGTAACGTTTTAATGAAACTTAGAAACTTCATATATCTTTCATTCTAACTTCAAATTAAGTGATTTTTGAGTCTGAGTTTATTGATTTTTCGTTGGCTATCCAAATGGTATGCACGGTGGCATCCATTTTTATTTTGAAATGACCATTTTACCCCTAGTTCCATTTTTGTCCATTTTAATCTTAGCTTCCGCATTCATTTTCTATTTGTGTCTCATGACTTCTTAGAAGGTCACTTTGTTGTCTTAGAGGTGGTGTCCATCTCTAGAGACCTTTTCTCTTTTCTTGCTTCCGCATTTTGGGACTCGTTATCGGGTCAATTTTTGAGTTACTCGCTGACGCATCGGGTCTTAGAATTCGTGCTGTTACATGCTTCCTTTTCGAGCTTATCATCAGAAGATTTATGTCTGAGTTAGACCTTTGTGCCTTAAACAAGTCTAAGCCTACAAGGAAGGTTCTAAGGGGTTTAGACACTACTTCATCTCAGATTCTAGAGATTACACAGATATTTCCCCCCAAAGGGAATTTTACAAGAGATAATGCAAATCTGTTGTATTCTCTACTTCTTCAGAATCAGAAAGTCATGCTTGATGCGATTTGTAATCTCCAAGCTGAGGTGAGATTGCTTAGAGGATAGGAGGTAGGATACTGAGGATGTCTACAAACCTGCTCCTCCAAATTCGTTGTTAGTTGCTGAGGATGAAGATTAGGAGATAGATGATGATGGTGATGGTGATGATGAGGATGATAGTGGTAATGATGGTGGTGATTATGAGGATATTCCGACCACTACTGTTCCTTTTGAGGGCGATGCTAATGCTTTATCCTTGGTTATCTCATTCATACATTCATGCTTCATGTTTTGTTTAGTTAACCTTGTCATTATTTTTGGATATTATTCTTTTTGGATTAATGACATGTTTTTTTTAACTGAATTAGTTGTTTCTTTTCTATATTCTTTGCTCTAATAATTATTTGCTTTGTCAATTTGTTCCAAAAAGGGGAGAAAAATGGATAAGTAAGTGGGAGAAAAAATATAGAAAAGTGGATAATTTATTCAGGGGGAGTTTTTATAAATTATTTTTTTGAACTTTCACTGGTAGTTTTACTTGATCCATGCGTAGGAAATCAAGTAAAATTTTGTCAAAGACAAAAAGATAACAAAGAAGAAAAATTCCGTATCCTTGACAATTTGTAATCTATTTTTTTCTACTTGAGTATATTATATTTGTTTCTATGGTTTTGTCACGAAATTGCCAAAGGGAGAGATTGTGAGATATAATTTTTGTAATTAGCTAATTTCGATATCAAAACAAGTCCGATCGGGTTATAATTCTCAAGTTACAATATTGAGATTGAGATCGGCTGTGGAATTGGAAGGTTGTTCAAGTTCGATAATCTTTGATCTACGAAAAAGGTATGAACAACATTTTAGGAAGTTTTTTCCCACTTAGGACATTATACCTACATGGTATATTTTTCAAAAGTTACCAAAACAGGGATTTTTCCAACTGTTAATTCTTCCTTCAGAATTCTGTCAAGTGGGAACCGGTACCATATTTGGGAACCAGTTCAAGAGACTTTGCTTCGAAGAAAACATTTGGTCCTTTGGGAACTGATTCCACTTCTTGGGTACCAGTTCCACCTACTGATACAATTTAGGTAATTTGTTTCCTGATCTGTTTAAACTTCTTATTTGGTTTAGAATACTACCAAAAGTCCTATGCACGAAAATTACCTTTTCCTATGCATATCTAGGTCTTTGAAAATTCTATATAAACCTTGATTTACATCTAGGTTGATACGGTTTTTGCACTACATCTTCAGAATTCTTAAAAAGCCTATTAGAGAGATATATTTGCAGAAAATCAAAGTTGATTTTTTCTGTCATTCTTTCTAGAACACACATATAAACACAAGAATGAGTTTAGAGTGTTGTTTAAATCCTAATCGTGATCAAAGTCTTGCATCTACAACAATCAGAAAAGCAGATCTACTTCTTTTACATCAAATTCAGATCTTAAAGAACAAAGGTGAAGTGATCACACTTTGAAAGGGTCAAAGCATTTGAGGAGTGTTATTTGATTTACCAGCAATCTTTCTACAAAGATCAAGAGTAAGCCTGACGTTATGAGTTATTAGACGAGACATCGCAAAGCCAGAGGATTATCAGTGATTGGTGTTTGGTAGAACGATAGGGTGTAAGCCTGAGTCAAATTCCACTGTACTTTGTTTCAAACATAGTGGATCGATTTACTTTGGACTGCACAATCCATGAAGTTTTTCCTGCGCAAACAGTTGGTCTACTTTACCAATTAGGGTTTCCTCGCTAAAAATTCTAGTACAATCTCTGACTCTATTTACTTTGCTTTATTTTATCTTGCATGAGCTTAATTGATTAATTGCTAAAATAAGTAAAATGGTTTAAAATAAAAAGACACAAATCTGTTTTTAAATACAAAACTTCTAGTGAGCGTCGCTTGCATATGCCAAAATTGATGTATTTGTGACCAAGTTTGAATTTATAAAAGCCACTACCACTACTAACTACTAACGTAGCAAGAGCGAGTAGGGATCGTCCCAAGAGATTTGTAAGGTATTCCAAAATCAATGTGGGATTGGTTGGTCGAGTGATCAAAGGGGGTTTTGTTGGTTGAGTTATACTACAATTGAAGCAAAAGCAATGCAATGTAAAACAACTAAATAAATGAGGTGTAGAGAATGAGAAAGGGTTCTTGGGACATAGAGTTCAACACTAAGCCTTGCCTTACTAAACATTCAGTATTTACTAAATTATGGGGATTATATGTTGTAAAAGAAGTGTGTGTACCATTAATTGAAATACTAAACATGGACGGCCAAATAAGCATACATTGTCTAATCAATCTAGTGTATAGCACAACCTATCAAATTAAACCATTAACCATTCCATAAGCCCACAATTAATACACACACAAGAATCTAGAGAATGTACTACTTGTACTCATATGCATGGATCATCAAACAACAAGAATAGATTGTCTACCTATTTAGGAATTTGAAACAACTAAACTACAACTACACTAATGCAATACCCTTAATTTTAAAAGGATAGTCTCGGCACTTTATTAACTGTTTTATTGTATTTTTTTTTATATGTTATTTTCCTATTTGCTTAATTGTTAATTGTTTAATTGTTTATTTATTTGACTAAATTGTTTAGTTGGTTGTAATGGTTTAATTGTTTATTTAATTAAAATAATTGATTAATTGTTATTTATTTAAATTTAAAATAATTGATTAATTGTTGTTTAGTTTCATTAATTGGTTAATTATGTTGGTTTTATTTACTTGCTTAATTAATTAATTTATTTTATTTA